CACACTGCTCCAGCTAACCAATCAGAGCACACTGTGCTTATCAGAAGGAGGAGCTTCATAGAGACAGAAACTAAACAGAGCGTTACTGACAGACTGAGAAGAGAGGTGCTGCAACATATCAAACATGTAAAAAATAATGTGTTTTGTGAACATTTAAGCATGAAAACTACAGAGCCCCCAAAGGGACCTTTGCAAAAATAAAAAATATACAGAAGAAACATATCGCGTGAGCACGCGAAAGTCTGTATATTTTTATTTTTGCAAAGGTCCCTTTAGGGGCTCCGTAGAAAACGTATTATAGTAGAGCCCAAAAGGAAAACCAAGAAAAAGGCATAATAAGTCCCCTTTAATATATATTCAACTTATTATTTGATATTTTTCTTTTATTCTTAACAACAAAAGCCGCAGAATGTGACAGCATATCTTGTTCCCCATATGTAATTTTGCACACTCAAAGTCGTGTGACTGCATCAGAGGCGTTGTCATGATGAGTAGGGTGCATCTCATTTTCAACAGACGGACTGACGGAGAGGGTCAAATCCAAACATTGAAAATAATTTGACTACAGACCAAGTGACAACGCATTTTCAGTCAAATGCACATTCATTGGCCATGCTAGCTGACTCTGCCACTGCATGATAGCAAAGTCAGGCCTGGGGTCAAATTCCGCTCCCTGAGACAATTCAGATGATGAAATCAATTGAAAGACCACAAAGAGTGTCAACCGGAAATGTGGACATAATTCAAGCCCTTCTGAACGGGCCTGTAGGGTTTACCCCAAGACTGAGTGAGGGAGTAACAAAGCACTGTTGACAAAATATATTAGAACAATTCGAGATGCGGGGAATATACATTCTGCTCCAGTGAGTGGGAACCCCCTGCTCAACAGTCCAAAACCCCATGTTGGAAGAGTTGAAAAAGTTAGACACTTTAATGAGTCTGTCTGTAATTGATTACTCTTGTTATCATGTCAGCAAATGACAAGTTGGCGGTTTAGCAGTGAGTCATCCCTCAGGTGTAGCACAAGCCATTAGACATGAGCTTAACGGCCCCTGCTAAGGGCCTGGATATAATGAATGAGCCCCTCACAGTGCGCTCATGCACTATATTCTCTCTATGAATTTAGATCGGGGCAGTGAAGCAGGTTTATAAGCAGGGCAAATTGGCAAATAATGGCCCTGGTGACAAGCGAACTCCATCACGACTGAAATTAATAATGTGCGCCAACAGGTTAATGTACGCGTTCATTACAGTGGGCAGCTCCCGCTCCTGAAATGCCAGCACAAGCCATGCCCTGAAGAAAAAGCATCAATTTTGTGTCTGTGAGTTACACAAACATTAAGCTCGTGATGTATGGGATGACAAAGAGAAGTTAGAATGCACAGAATGCAATGAATAACAGAGTCTTGACTAAATGAGTGTGCTAAGGTCATTTGGACAAATATAGATGACAAACAAGTATGCATTAGTTGTGCATTATGTCTCTAAAAGAGCGCTGCTAATGTTGTACCAAAAAAACTGTTATTAATGTCCCCCTAACTGAGTACGGATGTGTTCGTGAAACCGCATCGTAGCTGTGCTCTGCCTCTGGGCAACTGGCAATGATAAATAAGGGGAAAATGAAGAAGCAAAAGAACCGAGCTTGAATTTTAACACAAAAAAATGCTTCTGCCAGTGAATACATTTCCAGTCCATTTGGAAGGACAGCTATTGCTCATCTTGCCAAAAGGACAAAATGCTTCCCAGCAGAGCGGAAGATAGAAGATGCCATAAAGATCACTGCAGGAGTTGTATTCACAAGTCCACACTTGGGTGGCCAGTGTCTCAGCGGAACACCCTGTGGGAACCGAGTGACTGTAACAGTGAATAGGAAGTGATGCATTCACAACAACGACCTACCGGTAATTAGGCGATGCATACATAATACATGACGTAAATTGGCGATGCATACTTAATACATGATGTAATTAGGCGATGTATACTTAATACATGACACAATTAGAAGATGCATACTTAACACATGACGTAATTAGGCAATGCATACTTAATACGTGACGTTAGGTTTTCACTTGATACGTTATGTATTTAGGCGAGGCAAACTTAATACATGACGTTAGGTGATGCATACTTGATACATGACGTAATTAGGTGATGCAAACTTCATACATGATGTAATTAGGCGATGCATACATAATACATGACGTAATTAGATGATGCATGCTTAATACATTACTTAAGTAGCCAACGCATACTCAATATATGACATAATTAGACAATGCATACTTAATACATGACGTTAGGCCATGCATACTTGATACATGACGGAATTAGGTGATGCAAACTTCATACATGACGTAATTAGGCGATGCATACATAATACATGACGTTAGGTGATGCATACTTGATACATGCCGGAATTAGATGATGCATACATAATACATGACGTAATTAGGTGATGCCTACTTAATACATGACGTAATTAGATGATGCATACTTAATACATGACGTAATTAGATGATGCATACTTAATACATGACTTAAGTAGCCAAAGCATACTTAATATATTACATAATTAGACAATGCATACTTAATACATGACGTAAATAGGGTATGCATACCAATACATAACGTAATTAGACGATACATACTTAATACATGACTTAAGTAGGCAACGCATACTTAATACATGACATAGTTAGACAATGCATACTTAACACATCACATAATTAGACAATGCATACTTAATACATGATGTAATTAGGCGATGCATACTTACTATGTAACGCAATTAGACGATACATACTTAATACATGGCGTAATTAGGCCACGCATACTTAATACGTGACATAATTAGACAATGCATACTTAATACATGACGTGAATAGGCATTGCATACTTAATATATGACGTAATTAAGCAATGCAGTTAAATTCTATCCATCGCTAAATTAATAAATTACATTGAAATGCAATTTGAATTCATTTCCATAATGTATTTGCATAATGTAACTGAAAAGCCAGAAAATGTTGTCATTTATACTGTCATTTTCAAACCTATATAGCTTCCTTTGACAAGGTACTCTGTTTTTTTCCCATACAATGAAAATGAATGGAGTCCAAAACAACAATGGACCCCATTGATTTTCATTGTAATTTTTTTTCAAAATATGTTAATTTGTGTTCCACAGAAGAAACAAGTTCATATTGTATGGCAGGAATCAGTGCAGAGCAAGATGTTAGACTTTGCTTTAAAAAAATAATCTTAAAAAATAATCTGCACATATAATAGGACCATGGATGTGCATTAGGAAAGTAAATAGGCTCAGTTTTGCATTTGTTGACTTTTAAATGATGCATATGCATTTTGTTATATACTTTAGTATGTATATACATAATTAAACACATAGCCTAAAGTATTTAACTTTCATATTTAATGAGTAGGCTTAATTAACAATGCATACTTGAATGTGGTAACTGAGCATTAATGAATGATGTGAGTCAACAATGCATGCTCAATAAGGATGAGTCATAAGCTCTGTTTTAAAAGAAGTCACAGGAGAGATCAATGAACCCCTCTAATAATGTCCCTGGAGCCATTCATTCTTGAAAGTCTCTCAGATTGCACCTTTTGGATATCTCTCTTATTTAGCACATCTTATTCAGCACATCCTATTCAACAATCAATCTTACTAGCAGAGGGATTCGTGAACAACACTGTGTCAGATTAGTGAGACCCCTAAAATGTGCAGACAGTGCAGAGCCTGTAGGAACGGACAGAGAAACCTTGCCCTAAGGTATACTGAGCTACTTATACTAAAGCACATAGTTAATTTCAAGCATGGACATTCGATCCCCTTTAATCCCAATGAAGCTTTAAGCAGATTTGAATCTTTGGCACGTTTCTGTTCACCACATATTTCGCATTACATGTTGGGGCACGAAACAACCGGGAGCATGTGCGCCGACTGTCCAAGAGGGAGAATAAATGATTCTTAAACACATTTTAGTTTTTTTGTTTTTAAACTGCCATTACATACAGTATTCAACACACACTGATAAGTTAAAGAATGAATGCTTTTAGCATTTGTGGAGATCTTTAGTGCAGCTGTAGACTGATGAAAGTTCACAAGTTCACCGTGCTGATTGACAACACAGTAACACAACACAAACTTAAACCCGTCCTAAACTGAGCTGATCACAACAGCACTAAACGTGAGGCTAACCTGTTATGCTTTCAGAAGCGTATTTATGGCTCGTTTCATGAAAATTGTGACTTCTGTAGAAATAAATCGCTAACATAAACACTGACTTTAAAAATTACTTCTTTTTTTAATACTAAATTAGGTTTTGTTATTAGTCAACCCTGTTACCAGCAACTTCCTCAAAAACATAAAACATTTCTAAAATTCTACTAGTAAAAAAAAAAAAAAAAAAAAAAAAAAATAATACACTAATGGTATCATTATACTTTCAGGATGTTGACTCCTTACATAAGTGTCTCATGGTATTTATCTCATTCTTTTTTTCGAGGCTTGTCAGGGGATGATCTAAAACAGCCCTGTTATCACGATTCCTTTACATAATACAACGACTTATTCAAAACTGGATGTTTGAAGAATTATCAGCATTACATTTTCTTTCTAGTAAACACATTGTAGTGTTTTGACCTTGACCACAAACCTAATAATGCCTAAACGAACTTTAAAATTGTCAACTCAAGGCATATCTGGTTATATGCCAGATATTAAAATTGTTACTTTTAAAGGCATATCTAGCCCAGCATATATTTATTAATAGCCTATATTAAATTTTGCCTGAGATGCAAATTTATTAATTCTTACAAGACATTGAATGTTTACAATCTTAAAGCAGTTTACTTTATATTCATCTTAAAAAAAAAAGCCAGATTCATAAAATGACTCTTAAAACAAACTCTCATGCTCTACCAAAACTCTTAACATCTCATTGATTAATCGTCTAGACGTTTAATTGCCGTCTCACCTGCCATCGAAGTCCGCGCTCACTCCGAACCAGCAGGTCCAAATCAGCATGAACTTTATGATCCACATCTCCTTGCGTGTACGCTGCGTATATCCAAACGCCGCCGCTGGTTTCTGATGTTTAAATGGAAAAGATGGTGATGTTTAGATCCGTCAATTTTCAAAGCTACGAAGCGGGTCGAGCAGAAGGCGTTGACTGCTGTTCGTGCACGAGATACCGGCAGAGTCTCTGTCTGTGCTCCGCTCTTGCGGTGGAGAGCCGTGGACTGGAGCGCAGAGTCGGTGCGCTCAGCACTCTCTCTCTATCTCTCTCTCTCTCTACACACACACACTGAATGAGCACTGCGCCCAATAAGGAGAGACGGGAACGCTTATTCTACATATCCCTATATACCCCATATAATTACATGCACATTCATTAGGCTATATATAGTGAACATATAATGTTTATATGAACAGTATTAGCCTATATAGGGACATATAGCCTATATGCATATAGAAAATATTCACACACACACACACACACACACACACACACACACACACACGTGTGTGTGAGTATATATGTACACAGGTGAAACAGTGAGATATTTCAAGCCTTTATTTGTTATAATTTTAATAATTATGGCTTACAGCTATGAAAACCTTTTCACAATATTCTAATTTGGGGTTTTCATAAGCTGTAAGCCATAATCATCAAAATTATAACAAATAAAGGCTTGAAATATGTCACTTTGCATGTAATGAGTCTAATATATTAGTTTCACCTTTTAAGTTGAATTACTGAAATAAATGAACTTTTGCATGAATTTTTCGAGTTTCACCTGTATATACATACACACACACACATATATACATATACATACATATATTGTATATATACAGTATTGTATATGATAAGAAATGGTAAAGGTTTTTGCAGACAGGAGGGCACCTGCTTTTGTCATGTAAAACTGCTGGAAGGAAGATTTATGGTTCCAAGTCATCACTTGAGTTTCAGGTCTCAAGGAGTCGTGTGCAGGGTTACGTCTCATTTTTAGTTTCCCCATAGCGTTGGAGGGCATGTGAAATAAGGGTCTTTATGTTTCATCTCCATTTCCATTGGGTAAACACTTAGAAATGCAAGTATGCCAGATGGCATCTATATCTGGTCTCATCTCAAATCAGTCACATTCAGTGATATATTCATGCTCTACTCTTTAACTAAAGTGCTATATTCCAGAGAAAAACAACAAGGAAACAGCTCATGTTTCACTGGAGTATAGTGAGATATTGGAAAAGTCACACTCAAAAGTGTTACTGTGCACGGCTTGTTGGGATACATTTATACCCCATTCCAATGTTCTGCTTAAATACTATTTTGTGAAACATGCACACTCACCGGCCACTTTATTAGGTATACCTGTTCAACTGCTCATTAATGCAAATATCTAATCAGCCAATCACATGGCAGAAACTCAATGCATTTAGCCATTTAGAAACGGTCAAGACGATCTACTGAAGTTCAAACTGAGCATCAGAACAGGGAAGAAAGGTGATTTAAGTGACTTTGAACATGACATGTTTTTTTTTTTTGTGCCAGACGAGCAGGTCTGAGTATTTTAGAAACTCTGGGATTTACAGAGGAAATATCCAGTGAGCTGCAGTTCTGTGGATGAAAATGCCTTGCTGATGCCAGAGGTCAGAGGAGAATGACCAGACTGGATTGAGCTGATAGAAAGGCAACAGTAACTCAAATAAGCACGCGTTACACCCGAGTTCTGCAGAAGAGTGTCTCTGAGCGTGTTGAACTTTGAAGCAGAAGAGATTCAGCAGCAGAACACACACACCGGTGACTCTCCGGTGAGACGAGAACAGGAAACTGAGGCTACAATTCACACGGGCTCACGAAAATCAGACATTAGAAGATTGGAAAAACATTGCCTGGTCTGATGAGTCTTGATTTCTGACATTAAGATGGTCGGGTCAGAATTTGGCGTAAACAACATGAAAGCATGGATCCATCCTGCCTTGTATCATCGGTTCAGGCTTCTGCTGGTGTGATGGTGTGGAGGAGATTTTCTTGGCACACTTTGGGCCTTTTAGTACCAATTGAGCATCGAATAAACGTCACAGTCTACCTAAGTATTGTTGCTGACCATGTCCATCACTTTATGATCACAGTCTTTCATCTTCTGATGGATACTTTCAGCAGGATAACACGCCGTCACAAAGCTCAAATCATCTCAAACATAATGAGTTCACTAAACTCAAACAGCCTCCACAGTCACCGGATCTCAATGTGGAGGAACGGGAGATTCACATCATAGATGTGCAGCCGACAAATCTGCAGCAACTGCGTGATGATATCATGTCAATATGGACCAAAATCTCAGAGGATTTACAGTATATATATATATATTAGTAAATATAAAGGTGCACCTTATATTACTGAGCTCTAAAACCTTATATATTCTTATATAAACCATCTTCGCTGTAAATCAAGAACATGATTATGACATTTTAGGACGTATAAATTCAACTGATGTCAAATTTATATGAATTCTTACCAGAATCTTCACACTGCCAAGATTTTGATACTGTTATATGTCATATTTATTTCCACATATGAAAGAGGCCCAGATCTGACTACAAATGTCAGATTTTATGTGAATGTGGGCTACATTCAGCTGTGGTGTAAATGTACAGTACAATTCGAATATGTTACAGCTTTCTTTTAAGTTAATATGTTCAAATTTGCCAACTTTATAAGCTTGTTATAGTGTCAAAGAGAAACGTGCTTCATGTGTATTTTCAGTCCAGTTTTGCATGAACTATACGGTGACATTTCAAAGATATGTTAAGGAACGACACGGTCACTCTAAATGCATGGAGATACGTCCACAGCCTCTATGAATGGTGACACTGGAGAAAAACTCATTTTCAGCCTCTTCAGAACTGGAGAGCCTGCCGCGCTTTCTGATTAGGTTTTGTCACAGATGAATTTAAGGCGGATTGCGGCTTGATTTGGTCATGAATTTTGCGGCCTGCAATAGGTGAAATTGCACATTGCTCTTCTGATATTTCCAAAGAAACTAACTTTTCTGTCTCGCGAGGTAAGGAGGAAACAGGAGATACTGTAAAGGAAGCAATAGCACAGTCTGTACTTGTCATCTGAGCAGCGCTTTCACCACCCTTGATGCATCTTTCCTACCTCTTGGGTGTTTGGCTACATAAGCAGACTTTGATTAGCATTTTAGGAAAGCATGTGAAAAGTGACTTTTTGTAAAACAAAAACACAAAATTCTTGTTAGGGTGTTAGCAAGGGCATCACCATAAGATTGCTAAGGTGTTGAGTGGGTTTTCAGCGCATTGCTATACGGTTGCCATGATGGTTTGAGTGGTTGCTAGGTGGTTGCTAACTGGCCCACCCCCAAGTTTCTATGATATTCTGATGGGCCCCCATTTAAACTCCACCCCTTGTATTGTCCGCGATGTGAAATCCGCGTGAAACAAGCCATGTGAGCTATAGAGCGTAACAGTCGGGTTCCGGAAGTAAAAACACAATTCATTTTTCTTCATAAGAATTTTTTTTTTTTACAGTAACTTATAAACCTTTTAAGACTCAGAGGCTGTTATGGTACTGTATATGCTTGTGCTGAAGCCATCAGTCCACATTATTTTAACTAATTTTTAAAAGAACCGTGTTTAAGAGTTAAAATCATGGTGAAAAACTTCATTACCCATGATGCAATACAGAAAATTCCACCAATCACGGCAAATCACACCAAAAGAGTTGCAAAGAATGGTCACTTTCATGAAGCTCCATGGATGTAATCACAAATGAAGTAAACATATGGTAGCTCGCTAAACACTTAAATATGTGTGTATAAATATATATATTGGTCATGACAACTCTGAATGTTTGGCATGGTCATGCCAAATGTGGACATATTTGGTCTTGGAGGAATAGATCTGCTACGCTGCTGTTGGTTATGACTGTTTCTGTTCAGGACTTTCTACTGTCAATATAGCAGACATGAATTACCCGTAGCAGATCTATACAGGTGGAGCTGGGGAAGGAGGAGGGTTTCTGAAAGCGCACTGAAAACTGCTACAGCAAACACTGACCAAGTATTTGAAGGTTGAGCAGCGAGCTCATTGGCTAATGGTAGAGCAGCAACCAACCAATCAGCTGTTCCCTATAGAGAATGATGTGAATGCAAGCAGATTGAATTAAGGGTCCATCAACCTGCGTCATCTAGCGTTTAATGACAGAACTTTGTATTTTACAGTTTTTAATCTCTCCTTTTTTAATATGATTTTCATTCACAAGGCTTCATGGGATTGTAGTTATTTCCCTCATCAAAGCTGTTAAGTACACAGTCTTGTATCTTTGCCTTTTTGTCCAATTTTCAACTTTCTTTCTTCAAATCAGATTTTGTGATTCACCTTGTAACTGCCTGGTAGGCTACGAAGACTCGCTATGGGAAAAATTTACAGAACCAACACTGATGAAAAAGTGGATGGTAACTAAAGCACACTATAATTCACTTCTATTGCACAAACGGTATGGGAAGAGTTGTGCACCGTTTCGTCCTGCTCGCACAATTAGTTCTCCAGCAAAGCAGCAGCACAATGCGCTTTCCCACCGACAGCGTTTATGAACTCAGCTCTATACAGAACATACAGCGATTTCTGTTACTACATTGAATATTTATTTTAATAACTACCATAAAATAATGGATATTGGGACTTAACCACTGAGAATCTAATTTGCATACCTAATGTTAAGTGATCCACAGTGAAAAGATCGACCCTAAAACCCAAATTAACTGGATTTGGTCAGATCTAATTTGCATAATAACCTATTGATGTATTTTTTCAAACATTGAGTGAGTAGTTCAATTTATTATCTTATGTTCATTAATAAAGGCCTACACACAGCAATTTTTTTTTTATCTTTGTACCTTTTTCCCCACAAAAAGGTTAGTAGTACCTTAAGGTATGTATTTGTACTCTAAGGTACTAATATGCACCTTTAAAAAAGGTACAAAGATGTCCTTATATTTTTTCCAGTGTATATAGCAAAATATTGTGTTGATGAAAAGATTTACAGAGCATTTTCAACATGTTTTCAGTAAAAAAATTATAATAATCATCTCAACACCAAAACTACTCGCACCCACACTTCTGCCTTCAGTATTGACTTTATGCAGAATATTTTTTAGCTTTGTGCATGTGGCATTGCCAGATTTTGGCATATTGCATCATATATTGTATTCTGCAAACCTGTAGTTCTGTAGGAGGAAAAAACACCGAAATAAGTAAAACAATCTTTCAATATCTTTGTCAACATTACAGTAATGCAGTTATATAGACTCGTTTTATTTTCAACCTATCCTATTATGTTTTTGTTTTTCATGTACATTTAGTCAGGGACCAGAGCCAATCCTTGGGGAAAGAAGAAGCGTTTCCCATTGAAATGATTCCAGGTCTTTGGAAGGTGCCCCCGTCTCCAGTCTTTCACACTCAGAAAGATTGGCTCCGCTAGCAGAATTCAGATGAGTTTCGCTAGCTCGGCTCCTCAAAGCTTAAGGTTGTGCACTTCCTCTTGGCGGAGGAACATATCTCATCTCTACATCACAAATGTGACAGTCCACGGCTCTTCTGTAGCGAGCAAACCGGAGGCGTGTTTGATGACAGTGGTGCAAACACAGCAAAGTAAAACGGGGAAATAGTTCATATATTAGCATACGCTGTAGACCGATTGCAGTGCTTTGACATTTGTGTGAGCCGTGGCCTAATCAAATATTCATAACCGTGGTCAGATTAATCCATGCACGCACCATTTCATAAATATTAACCCCTCCAATTCTCCTGACCCGCGTCACAAGGGAATCGTGATAAATTCCTCCTCTTGTTTACTTTCAATACTTTTAATCAAACACTTTGAGACAAAAGCTCAAGAGCGATGTCTCGGAGTTCTTGCGAGGGAGAAGTGGAAATTACAATGAATAATTTTACATTGGTAATAACTTGGAAAGACCGGACTCTTTTGTTTTGTGCGTAATATGCAATAATGGTGGAGGATTCAATGCGACTGATTTGCAAACGACTTTTGAAGTTATGTTAAATTGGGCATGCTGGTTTTTGTCTCTATTTACACACAAACATCAGGCATGCAAATCAGGACTGATCTGAGAGACATTACTGAAATTAAAATCTCTAATAGTTTAGATGAAGCCAAGTTTAAAAGCTAAGCTTAAAATCAATTAAAAATCAAACATACTAATTGCACAATTAGCTCAAACCATGATTCAAGTGTGTGCGCAAATAAGTAGCATGCCATGCTTTTAGATCAAAGGAAAAATATTAAAGGAATAGTTCATCCAAAAAATGAAAATCTTAATGTCATTCAAAACCAGTATTATTTTCTTCGGTGTTACATAAAACGAGATGTCAGACAAAATGTCAAAGCATAAAAGAAATGGGAATGGCCTACAAAAAAAGCACCATAAAAACATCTTAATTTAGATTCTGTACCTCATACACAAAGCTATCGTATGTCTCCAGAAGACTTGGAATGTAGCACACTAATCCAATGGACTTTACAATAATTTTATGGTGCTTTTCTGTCAGTATTCACACAATTTACTTTCATGTTATGTAAAAGATTGACTCAGACATGCCTAGCATCTCCTTTTTTGTTTTATAGAAGAATGAAAAACATAATACGAGGTTGGAATGACTTGAAGGTGATTCAATTATTTTCCTCTAAATGAAACGTTTGCACTTATAAATTGGCCAAAATCATGGAATAAATGAAACAATATTTTTGTAGTCCTGAATATTGTCTTGATGTGGGTATTTCTCAGTGAGTCAGTGTTATGTTGTAGGAAAGCCCACAAGCATATTGTTCTTAGGCGAGCAGCCCTCAGGGACCATAGTCATCACTCTCACAGAATACCCATGAGTCTCGGCGGCCCAACTGCGGTCCAAGTCCACTAGTCCCATACAGCGCTTCCCTGGTGATTGACAGAGAAAACATTGGGAAATGAGACCAATAATGAAACGAGTTATGTTTATTAAGAGCAGGCCAGAAATCTATACCGAAAACATTACTCAGATATTACATTGTTGTTAATTAACTTTTTCCCCCGGCATTGACAGAATACAGCTAGAATAAAATGTTTTTTTTTTCTTTGTAATAAAAGCTGAGTTTCTGTTCTTTCTTTTGGTGTATTGTTTGTTCAGATGTTCATACAATAAAATATTCTGGGGGCCAGTTTCATGAAAAGATCAATAATGCGGCCTCAAGTTTAGAAACTATTAACTTTGAGTACTGTGAATTCATTAAATTTGAGTTCACTTAATATAATCAGTTATTGAGTTCACATCACTTGTTCAATTAAGTGCAATGAACTAGTAATATTTGAATGAAATGAACTAATTTACTTTAATATATTTGACTGTTATAGGTTTTACAGTGTTTAAAAGTTTAAGATTTTTTAAAAATGTTATATATAAAAAATTCAAATGTTCAGCAAGGCTGCATTTATTTGATCAAAAGTATTATTAAAGTTGAAAATAACTTTTTCTAATTAAATATATTTGAAATTATAATTTACTTTTGATGCTCAAGAAACATTTCTTAACGTTGAAATCAGTCATGCCGCTTCATATTTTTGTGGAAACCATGATACTTTTTTTTAAAATTATTTGACGAATAGAAAATGCATCAATCTTTCAAATTTCATGAAGTCATTTTGAAACTTTTTCTAAAGTGTCTGTTATTAAAGTCATTTGAAATTCCATTTCTTTAAAGAAGCTCTCTGTAATCCGACGGATAAAACAGTGAGACTTTAAACAAACTTTATCATCATATCAAACTGTAATTAACAGCTCATCTAAACTCAAAGATATCTGCCTTTGAAAGCCTTTGTGGAGTGTGGGGTTTGACTGGCACGGCACAGGCAACAGCGCTGGTTAGCATGTGTTTTGTAAAGAGGCTGAGAGGCTGTCATCTATAAAAGATGGCCAGTGGAAGGAAAGATGACAGCGGCGTCAGATTTATGTGAGAGTGGGATAAGACTGCAAGTGTGTGGCGAGAAGTTTGACAGAGAGAGGGGTCACAGAGCGGGGAGATCTTGTCTGTGTCCGAAATCGCCCTCTATCCACTCATTCACTGTTCCCTACATTAGTCCACTAATATAGCTCACTTCAAGGAGTGAATGAAAACGAGTGAGTGGAAGGGCTACCGCTTTTGCATAGTTTGTGCGATTTCAGACACATTTTTTGTTTGACCACATTACAATTTTAAAATATTCTAACTGACCCCCCAGCGTGAGTTTTTCAAGGCGACCGTTATTTAGAACTTGTCACTTTAATGTTTCCATGGTGACGCGTCATTGCTTGTCACGTGACACAGCGCTGAATGAATGATGATCTGCTTTTATGTGATTTTTCCTTTTTTATTAAAAATATTCACAAATGTATTAGCTATAGCATGAAACACTGATATTCCTAATGTCAAATATGTGCAAGTGGGTGGGTTTTGTTGTTTAAACATCTTTATAACGATCGTGTTAGTTGTATGCACAATGGGCGGCGCCATTTTAGTTTGTTTTACAGTTCAGAGAAACGGATCTGTTGGATTTACAACACGTCAATTCCTCCACTTCTCACGAAATACATGAAAGTAAGTGGCCGGTGAACTGGGAGAAGAATAGGGTCAAATGTAACTTACACAATGTGTATCTGATATGAATAAAACGTGTCGTCTTATTATAATGGAAAGGATTATTATTGCCGCTTCCATAGACATCAGTGTGTATTTTACAAACTCAAAATCATTGTTTTGCTAGTACCTATGTGTATTTAAATGTCTGAAACCTAAAATAAACATTATGTGGTTGAAAACACTCAATAGTTGTGATATATGACAGCACTGACTGCAGCCGTCCGTCTCTGGCTCAGCGCCAGTCAACGCGCAAAAGCACGTTTGAATTTAGCAGTTGATCACGTGATGCACTGACCGTTCTAATCACACCGGTGTGATCGTACGCTCCAGGGACCAGCCAAGACTGATCACACCGGTGTGATCATACGCGTGAAAGGGTTAAAGATTCTCCATTTATACTACTGTAGACTAAAACCCTTCTTAAAAGTCAATTGGTAACCCAACAACTGCTTACGGTCCATAGAACCATTAACAAGTTTCTTAAATGCCAAATGGAAGTGCAAACCAATTAACCATGCTGCAATTAATTAATTAATTAATTAACACTAAGCAGTTGCCAAGGAGTTCTACGTGTCTGCAAGGGTTTTACTAGTCACTCACAGCCAGAATTTTGACGATGCCATAAAGTCTGCTCAACACTGCAGCTTAAAATTGTAGCCATATGGACGAACTCTATTAGGGATTTCCAGACCTAAAGCAAAACTGTCACAATAACTCCAGCCACCTGTTAAAAAACCAAACATCTCACCGATTAATCGCCGTTCCAGAGGTAAACTGACAGCTGTCTGGTCTGCAAACCTGCACAGGATCATATGCTCCTGTGGAAACCATAGAACATATGTTAATGTACCAAAAAACACATGCTGACACATCAATAAACACACTTGCACTAAACACACAAAAACATCTGAAAAACAGCTCAGCTGCAGAGAAATATCAATGCATGAGATCGTTAGGGTTGTGGTGAGGGAATAGACCATTTATCAACCGTTGCAACCAGCCATTAGAGGAGAAACAGAGGAAAGCAGCACCCAGTTTATTTTATGTAAATCAATGCACTCTAATTGCAGTTTCTTTCTTCTTTTTTTTTTTTGCAGGGACTGTTGCAAGGAAGTGCCACAAAATGACTTCCTCTGCTGTTCCTGTCCAATGATGGCTTCAAGCAACCATTATTCTGCATTAACTGAGTGAAACAAGTGCTGATGGAAAGGATTCGGAACGTAACAGCCCTGGCAGATTGATTCCTACTATCAAGTTGAATCCTCTAGGCTAATAGCTGTGATCGATGCTATAACTCAGTAAAGAGTTAATTTAACACAGTAACTTCAGCATTTTTTAGTATTCGTACCAATAAGAACTTTTGCATCGATCATGCTTGCTTGGAAAGAAGCAAAGGGAATTTTGTAAAACTCAAATCAATTCCAAACAATTAAAATAACATCTATTTTTCTGCTGGGAATTTCAATGCATTCATTTGAAATCACAATGCATTGAATAATCCAGTCAAATTAAATCAGTTGACGCCTTGCAAATGAAAAAAACGGGGGAATTATATGCATCTAAACTGCATGTGTGTAGATCAAACTTTGAGTGATATTCACCTGTGCCAAAGTTGCTATAGGGTGTTAAAGGTTCACCTCATGCTTACAGTACACTGTAAAAAAATATCCTGATTTTAACAGTAAAAGACTGTAAAAATGCTACGGTGAAAAACTATTAATTAAACTGTTAATGGTTAACAGAAAGTTTCCGTTCAATATACGGTGAATAACTGTATTAGATCTAACCGTAAACTAAATTTTACAGTAAAATACCGGTAAATACGTTTTTGGAAGTGAAAAAGAACTAGTCATTTTTTAATTTACAGTGAAAAACTGTAATCCCTGTGTGACACTACACATTTGACGTTTTTTTTTTTTTTACTGTAAATTTAAGTTAAATCTGTAAAGCCTAAAATGTTGCTACCGTATTTTTTACGTTCAATTTCTGGCAACCACAGCTGCCGTATTTTCTTACCGTAAATTTAACGGATTTTTTTTTTACTGTGTGCAAACAGCTTAATTCATAATTCTGTTTGTGCAAATCCAAATACTAATAGCAACAGTGATGCTCGTCTTAGCAAACATTAGAGGTTAAATTTCGAATAGCTCTAGATCTATTCCCGAGGAACTGGCTGTCTCTTGTAGGACCCTCTGTAGGTGATATCTCAGCAGTGGCCTTGAGCACAGCGTGAAAGAGGCAGATGTAGGAGTCGAGCAAACACCGATGACAGTGAGATACAGTACGACTGATTAACCTCATCCATTTCTCACACTTCTGCCTCCACTGCAGCACAGTGCCTGGAGCAGGAAAACACCAGAAAAAAATACAACATGCAACTACAAGAATCACTCTATTCCCAGGAAAACACTATTTCATCTGAGAATCATGAGAAGAGGAAAAACATCGGCTTATGGACAGATGTTTTGTGCTACTCAGAATCTGCGGTAACATTTTTACAGAGCTGGAGCTGAGAGAAAAAAGAAAATCCTCTATAGTGAAGATGATTCATACACTAGTACAGAAAATGTGGCTGAAACTAATTATTTTCATGGTGATAACTGATTAATTAACTGAATATTACAAATCTATACTGCTAACCCAGTTTACACACAAAAATACCTCTCATACTAAAGCCGGGTGCACACTGTATGATTTATAATAGTCGTTTATGATTGCTGCTTGTCAGACTATATGAACATGGTCCCCGCTGTAAACCATGTCACACTGTGGGCTCTCAGTTGTCATTAATGTCAGACTGCATGGCAGTCACGAAGCGTTCAAATTTAAAAGCGTTTAATTTTGATCATGGCTTCTCTTGAAAAGGAAACTGAAAATATGAAGACAAGTGGTGGTTTGTTGCGGTTTCACTAGTTGCATCATCATGTTCGACGCTCCTTGGTTTTTGATTTACCGGTCAAAGTCAGACTACAGGACTGTGCGTCAAACTTCTCACACTGCCAGAATTTCCTCAGAGGTCAAATTTGATTGCAATGGTCATTAATAGGCAAGTACACTGATTTATGAGTCAATTTCCTTAAAAATTCATCCACGACAATGCTTTCACTGTTTGACGTTAATTATTTAGTTTTTTCATTAAACTCTATTTCGGACTGAAGGCTCTTTAATCATAATTTCTATAACAAAAATGACACAAAAATTTTGTTGTGGCACTGTATATTCAACAGCAGTGCAGGAAACATTTCACATTGTATTCTAGTCATTTTACTAATGTTCAAGAACTATTAAAATAATAGCATCATGAAACTTGCAATTACTTTTTTTCTTTCTTTAAAAAAAAAAACTGGTTCTAAATCATATTAAGTAAAAATATCAATTAAAATCAGGCATGAAAACAGTTAGGGAAAAAAAAAACTTTAAAAGTATTAATGTTGGCAACAAACTGGCTAAAAATTATAGAAGAAAAAGTAGAAAAATATAAAAATATAAATTAAAGCTAACTAGAAAAAAGTAAAAATACAAAAACTAATATAAAATAAAATGAACCAAATAGAAAAAAGTACTAATATATATATATATATATATATATATATATATATATATATATATATATATATATATATATATATATATATATATATATATATATATATACACATACACACACACATGTATATACATATACATAAACACTATATACAAAGTACCGTATATATATATATATACGGTATATATATATATATATATGTACTTTTTTCTATTTGGTTCATTTTATTTTATATTAGTTTTTGTATTTTTACTTTTTTCTAGTTAGCTTTAATTTATACATATATACACATATACATAAACACTATATACGAAGTATCATATATATATATATACACATATACACACACATATACATATATTTGTATGAATGTATGTGTATACATATATATATATATATATATATATATGTATGTATTTGTATATGTACATATATACCGTGGATCCAAACTCATGACCTAAACAGGACTAAATCAAACACTGTGCTTCACATACACGAGGCGTATGGACTCCTGTGGAGGTTGTGCATTAGGAATCAGGCAGTGTGGCGTCCCACACATGTAGATGATAATGAACAGAGTGTTGAAACACTTACCTTATAGCTCAAAGTCTCCGCAAACCTCGTGCTGTGGAAAGAGAGAGACGGAGGGGGGCAGACTTAATGAACTCCCACACACACACACACTGAGGAGCAAATGAAAAATGACATGACACGTTAAAAGAAAACACGCTTAAGGAGAGGACAGTCCATCCGGATCATAGGAGATGCTGGAAACCTTCTCTATGGACAAAAAACACATGTAGCACTTCGGTTGCTGAAATAAGCCGTGCGTACTGTAAACACAACGGGATGTCTCGCGTAACACTTGCATGATAAAGAAGAGCTCTGCAACTCGTGTGTGTGTGGTAGGTAATGTTTGGTACATTAACTGTCTGTCATCAGGTCGCCCTTCCTCTCCTAACTGTTGAATGCAACAAATGACAAATCCCTCGATGGGCCGCTGCCATAGCAACACCATGAACACAACCACGGAAAAATCATTTCCTGCGCTCGCTGCTCTCGCCACCCTGATGCTCATGGCCCGCGGCAAAATTCCTGCCGGAGATTAAATGACAGTTTACGCCGGATTTGGAGAATGATTACTTGGGATTGGGGGGAAAACTGATGACTGTTCGAAAGCAATCGTCACTGTTGAGAATTTTTAAAACACACTCTCTAATTTTTGCATTTTCTCGCCAACATTTAACGTGGCACTGATGAGGCTCAGCTGTGATTGTTGATACAGGACAGAATATTCGGAGAACGTTCATGTGAAGAGAACGACAGAAATAGACGCAATAATGAATGTTTATTATGCTGATCTATTATGGTTGGCTATTTTCGAACGGCCTCATGTTCTTGTCGGTATCTTTTGAGGGTATGCAGAGCTTAGCTTTTAATATACTGTGGATTTTAATATCTACACTGTCGTTGTGTAATGGGGAATTAGGGGAACAAATGAGAAGAGAGAAAGATAGAAAGCAAGAAGAGGAAACAGTTTTGACCTCTTGGGGAAGTTGAACTTGAGTGTGTTTTGAATGAACCCGTAGCAGCACGGACTAATGACGAATCCCGCCCGCGCCTGGAGGCAGCGATCCAACACCATGTCTGTTGCCACTCCGCACGCATGCAGGGCCACCTGAAAAACACACAACACACCAGTCATGCTGGTTACAGACATGGGCTCTTAAACAAAAGTTGGTAACCAAACTACCTGAGCTCTAGAGCAAGATATGTGTGTGGAAACTGTCTATTGTAATAAGTCAATTGGACAAAAAGGGTCGGTCATTGTGCACAAATACACAACCATTCAAATGTTTGTCGACAAATGTTTTGAAAGAAGTCACTTATCCTCAAGGCCGCATTCACTGGATCAAAAACACAATACAAAGTCATATTTTGAAATATTATTATAATTTAAAATACCTGTTTTCGATTCTAATATATTCAAAAATGTAATTAATTCATGTGATGGCAAAGCCTAATTTTTAACGTCAGTGTCACAGAAATCATTCTAATATGCCGATTTGCTTATCAAAAAACATTTATTATTATTATCAATTCTGAAAAAACAGCTACTTAATATTTTAGTGGATGATACATTTACATTTCATGATACATTCCATGATGCATTTCTCAAGATTATTTGATTAATATAAACATTAAAAGAATATTTATTTGAGAAAGAAATCATTAAAATATCATTAACATAATAAATGTCTTTACTGTCACTTTTGATCGATTTAATGCATCTTTTCTGAATAAAGTATTAATTTAAAAAAGAAATCTCTTGAACAGTAGTGCATTTTTTTTATATTATTCTGGTTACAAAATGAACTAGAAATTAAACTAAAAAATGCTATGACTTTAAGAAGACAATGACTTGAAAAAATGGCTCACACACACACACACATAAATAAATGTCTTCATTTTCATAATTAAAATTCATTTTAAGATTTTTCTGAAAAGGTTACATAAAAAAGAAATCAAGGTATATTCGGAATGAGAATATAACAAAAAAGAAATGGCTCATTAAAAGGATGAAATACTTAAGAGTTCAAGTTTGCTTGAAAGTTACACAACAAAGGCAGTAAATTCAAAACAAATTTGGAGAATGATATAGCAGTTTTTTCCAAAACAAATTAAGCCAACATGAAAGATTAAAAAATTACTGGTAGCACTTTATTAGTCCTGTTCCCCATGTACATACTATGTACTTATTATAGTAATAACAATAACTGGGTAATAACTAGGTACTAACCCTGAACCTACCCCTAAACCTAACCTCAACCCATGTACTTACCTTATATTAACCAGTACGTTTTATGTAAGTACATTGTAAGTACATGTAAGTGCACATACTGTATAATAAAGTGCAACCAAATTACCAGAACGAACTTGGCATTTGACCAGAAGGTTGTTTTATCTAAAGCATAATGCATAAAAGCATAACAATTTTGGTTACATCATTGCAAATGTGTGAATTAGACTATTTCCCAGTGCTCAGAGTGGCGTTAATCTACGCATGACAACTAAAAAACGGTTTAAACTTTTTGCCTGTCCTTGGCCACATTTCCACACATCTCAAAGTTCTTCTGTATCTAGCGTGTTCTCATTGATCTGTTAGTGACTCGGGCACAGGGAGAGAGAGAGAGAGAGAGAGAGAGAGAGAGCATGCCAGTCATACCCTGCCGGTGTGACACTGCATGACAGCAGATGTCTCTCTGCCTATTAGCAGGAAAAGTGGATCAAACAGCTTGATGGAGGGTAAAGAAAAGCTTTAGATGTCCATACAGAGGCTTGTGAAAGATCAAGCGTTCGACTTTGCTCACGTCTTTACCGGACCAGTGCCTGCATCCATCACCATTAGGGTGAGAAACTGGAACAAATAATGCAAACTCTGGTCTCAGTGAGTGTGAGCGCACAGTTGACCAAACCCATGGATTAACACCCTTCAAATCCCCCATAAGAAGTTTACTGGGAAATGTGGCCAAATCTCAGAGGATTCGCTTTACACGCTGCTTGGAGTTGCCATAGGAGAGGAATTATGCCCGTGAACTCTGTGTGGGAAAACACACAGCCTTAAGCCGAGACGAAATAAATTAGGAAAAAGCAATATTGGCAAAGCGTCCAGTGTGGATTGTAATTAAGTTCTCGAGACGCTAATTAGACCGAAATGATTCATAATGTCTTTTTAACAGGATCTGGAATAAAGCCATTCTCAAAAACCCTGGGCAGGTGTTTGAGCATTCAAGGGCCACCCTAATGTACTAATCACAATCCATTAACGCAGGGTTTCAGTTCTTTGAAGTAGACCACCATCTCATAATGGACCCATGTATTTGCATCTAAAGTGAGAAACAGAACGCCTCATCACCACAACAAGCAAAATCAACTGTGAAAACCTTTCGCTTTGAGGACGTCGTGCAGCAGGTGAATTTCAAAAGTTGACAATGATGCAACAAAATGACAATACTACAGATAGTGTTTCTTAAGGACGCCGGGAGAACTTTCAGAAGATGTTTTGTGAAAGTACAACTTTGAATGACCATTCGGCAAAACATCTTCTGAAAGTTCTCCCAGCGTCCTTAAGAAACACAATGTGAAATTCACAAGGAATTCTGACAATAACGGATGAGAGACTTTAAAGAGTAAATCAATGCACAACTACAGTAGAACTTCAGGAATAAAGAGCGGGAGGAAAACACTTTTTTTCACAACACAAATTAAATGAAAAATATAGCAAATCACAGAAGAGTCTATTCACACAGAAGGCACAAAAAAAACATTCTGGTAGTTCAGATGCTTTAATGCAAGAAAAAGCACAAATGAAAAAAAAAAAATTACTCACTTTAACACAAGATATCTGCTTAAAAAATAGATGTAGCTATAGTCATAGCATGGTAAAGGAATATGAGCTATAATGACAATAATAGTGTGCTTATGGTAATAGTAGAGCTTTCACAATAAACTGTCACTAAATTGGTAAAGTTGGTAAAACACACGCGCACACACACACAACGAACTGTTCCAACGCTATCTCACGACCAATTCGTACGAATTCGTACGAGTGATTAAAAGGTGGCTAATTCGTACTAATTCATACGACCTCACTCGTACGAATTTGTACGATTTGTCTAAACTCACGTGACGGGTAGGTTTAGGGGCGGGGTCAGGGGTAGGTCATTCGTACGAATTCATACGAATTTGGTAACTCGTAAAATATGTACGAATTAGCAAAAATCGTACGAATTTGTACGAGTGAGGTCGTATGAATTAGTACGAATTAGCCACCTCGTAAAATTCGCACGAATTGCCGTGAGATCGGGCTGACTGTTCTCATAGCAAAACAAAAAAAAACAAAAAAAAAATCAAAGCAAAGAAAAAACTAAATAAAAACAAAAAACAAAAAGCAAAACAAATAAGCAAGAAAAAAAAAACAGTTCAACAAATCAATCCATGTCAAAACAAAATCAAAAGCGAGAAAACAAAACGAGGAATGAAAAATAAGATCCAAACAAAAAACACATTGTATGGCGATTATATTTTTTTTTAGTGCGAACAGGTCTGTAGAAATGAAACAACATATTGTTTGTTAGTATTTGTGGGCGAATGTTCGGTAGAAACACTGTAAAGCATTATTTGGCAGCATGCAATTATGCCACAATCTATTCTTTACAAAAGCAAAGAGGTTGGAAAAGCACATCACAGTCATTCCAAGTCTTCCATCGGAATGTCGGACGCTCCGTCTCCAGTACAAATTTAGTCATAATGAGACAAAGCTGGTGGGCCGTCTCCCAAAAGATCAGATGAATGTTGTTTAGCATGGGAAAGAAGCAGTGTTACAAAGCTCAAGTTTGTTTTTCCTTTACAAGCAAATAAAGTGGAATCTGCAATGGTTTTGTGTGGTCTCTTGTACTGAAGGATCTAATAAATTAAGTTTTCTGAAAGCACTGAACATATAAGACATTGACAAAGAGCTTAACGTCATCCTCAATGCTAGTTTTTCTTGTATAAATCATTCAGCAACGGAAAAATAATAAAGCATATTCTTTATTCGGTTTTCTCATGCAGTAGGTCTTCATTTTTTTGCTGAGGATGTTTCTTTTCTTCCATTCAATGGAGTAAAAACTTTTTCTGTCTTTATAATTAAGTAGTTTGCCCGAGGGATGGAAGGCACAACTTCACGACTACGATGCAAGTTCATTATTCACAGCCACCGAACACAGCAGTGTGCTTGTTTCACCATCATTCAACAGGTACAACAAATCAAGTTTGAGCAAACAGCCCATAACTTCTCTTTTCACATCATTACCCATGTTTAGTCATTTTTCCTAGTGTAGCTGCCTGCAAGCCTTATTACAGACTGTCTTAAAAAAGGAATAGAAGCTATTTTCACGCATCTAACCCACTGGGAAACAATAGTTCCGGCTCTGCTGTTTTAGCAAGCAAACCTTTTAACCATTTATGCTGATGATATGTGCAGAGTTATGCAAGATAACACAATATAGCTTAGAAACTCAAAGATAAAAATTTCAAATTCACTAAATCCGTCTTTATACCAACACAACAAACACAATCACTTTCCAGAGCTTTCTCATTGCCCAAACAGGTTAACAATCTTGAACGTCTGCTTGCTAATCGCTGTGTAAGTTTTAAAATAATTCAAATTCATACCAATTTAGCAATGAATCGTTTATATTTAGACTGATTCACAACCGCTTCAATGTCGAATTATTCATTTCCAAGCCTGTAAATCACAATTGTATAATGTCCTTGATATTTTCAACTTGTTTCATGACCGAGATACACATAAAATAACACTATGTAGTTCGTTCTAAACCCTTGACAATAATTTTTTTATGGAATATCGCATCCATAAGTGACTTATACATGTACATATTTTTTTTTAATTCATGTGCCCTCATAATCTATAATCAAAAAACTTCCCCTCCCTCTTGCAGTTATTTTCTTCTCTAATGACGTGTTTACTGGCGTGAGGGCGGAGCAACCTGTCACTCACACGAGATCCACCAATAGCAAACCACAACCATCCAATCAATTCCCGATGGACAAAATCAAGACCCGCCCAACATTTTTTCTTGTACAAGAAGCAATTTCACTTGAATATACACTCACCTAAAGGCTTATTAGGAACACCATACTAATACTGTGTTTGACCCCCTTTCACCTTCAGAACTGCCTTAATTCTATGTGGCATTGATTCAACAAGGTGCTGAAAGCATTCTTTAGAAATGTTGGCCCATATTGATAGGATAGCATCTTGCAGTTGATGTAAATTTGTGGGATGCACATCCAGGGCACGAAGCTCCCGTTCCACCACATCCCAAAGATGCTCTATTGGGTTGAGATCTGGTGACTGTGGGGGCCATTTTAGTACAGTGAACTCATTGTCATGTTCAAGAAACCAATTTGAAATGATTCGAGCTTTGTGACATGGTGCATTATCCTGCTGGAAGTAGCCATCAGAGGATGGGTACATGGTGGCCATAAAGGGATGGACATGGTCAGAAACAATGCTCAGGTAGGCCGTGGCATTTAAACGATGTCCAATTGGCACTAAGGGGCCTAAAGTGTGCCAAGAAAACATCCCCCACACCATTACACCACTACCACCAGCCTGCACAGTGGTAACAAGGCATGATGGATCCATGTTCTCATTCGGTTTACGCCAAATTCTGACTCTACCATCTGAATGTCTCAACAGAAATCGAGACTCATCAGACCAGGCAACATTTTTCCAGTCTTCAACTGTCCAATTTTGGTGAGCTCTTGCAAATTGTAGCCTCTTTTTGCTATTTGTAGTGGAGATGAGTGGTACCCGGTGGGGTCTTCTGCTGTTGTAGCCCATCCGCCTCAAGGTTGTGTGTGTTGTGGCTTCACAAATGCTTTGCTGCATACCTCAGTTGTAACGAGTGGTTATTGCAGTCAAAGTTGCTCTTCTATCAGCTTGAATCAGTCGGCCCATTCTCCTCTGACCTCTAGCATCAAAAAGGCATTTTCGCCCACAGGACTGCCGCATACTGGATGTTTTTCCCTTTTCACACCATTCTTTGTAAACCCTAGAAATGGTTGTGTGTGAAAATCCCAGTAACTGAGCAGATTGTGAAATACTCAGACCGGCCCGTCTGGCACCAACAACCATGACACGCTCAAAATTGCTTAAATCACCTTTCTTTCCCATTCTGACATTCAGTTTGGAGTTCAGGAGATTGTCTTGACCAGGACCACACCCCTAAATGCATTGAAGCAACTGCCATGTGATTGGTTGATTAGATAATTGCATTAATGAGAAATTGAACAGGTGTTCCTAATAATCCTTTAGGTGAGTGTACATCACAATGGGGAAAAAAAGACTATCACAACTAAATATACACCTAGATCTTTTATATTAGATTACCTTGTTTATTTGCAACACTTTTCAATAGGACAAGACTCTAGAGACAAATCTCTGTCCGCTGCTGCATAACGTGACAAATTGGAGGTTATCTAATGTTTAACAATATACATGGTTTAATGTCCACTTGTCACAGGTGCTAAAAAAGTCAGATTTACATGAAAGAGAAAGCTTTTAGTGGAGGAATATTTCATCCCCACATGGAGGTCTGGAGGGGGAAAAAAATACTTCTTTCTAGATAAACCTTGTATATTAAAATTATTTTTTTTAAATTGTTGACTGTTTGATATGAATCCCATTATGAATCTCATTGACATTCTTATTTTTAATGATTGTGGTAGGTGCCCAAAAGAAACTCTACATAGATACAGGTATTAGATTTGGGAACCAGTGAAGGTCTGATAAAGACTCTGTGTCGGAAGAAAATAACCACCCCACACACACACACACAACGGAGCAGTGTGTGAAGCTCAATACTGCAGCTGCAGCTCTCTGTGGATACGAGGCCAGAGGCTGCAGGTCTCTGGCAGAAAGAAACATCTCATTACCTCCTGAAACAAATATAAGAACTGCAGAAAGTACATACTTCCTCAGTTTTATCATTTTAATCAGTATTTTAATCTTTTTTTTTTTGTAAAAATACCTAAACATACTTAAAATGCACAATTGTGTAAGATAAGACTTGTTTTCAGAGAATATAGATTGAATTACGTTTTTTCCGCCTTCACCACATTGGCAAACTGTAACAAAAAAACAAACCTCGCACGGTTTCTACGGTTTCACGGTTTAACAAGCCAAAACAATTCGCCAGTGCTGTATGAAAAATAAACAATTTGGTTAAATTTAAATAGATTAAAGTAAATATATTTCGGTCTACCTCAAATATGATTAGGGAGTGCTCTTAACAAATATACAATCCAACTAGATTGCATAATATAAATTTGCTGTCTAATTTATATTATGCTTGTGGTTACAATATTTGACCGAATTAAAAAATAAGAGAACACAAAACAAATGTGTGTAAATGACTATTAATAATATCATTGTTCCACAATCAGTCTCATTTAACATTAAATGTAATCTTAAATGTTGTCAAGTTGTCGAGGAGCCAATTTCATCACTCAAAATGCAGTAATGAGCAACGCATTCTCTTTTGAAAGGATTTAAAGGACAAACGTGAGGGTGAACTGCATAATTAATATGGATGGCAGGGAGAATCAAACAAGCAACAACTACAGAGTGCCAGAATCCATCCTTTTAAACAGGCTTTGCAATGCAAATGAAGAGATATCCATACCTTATGGACAAAAATGTATGTGAAATTATTGAAACTGCTCATTGCAAGAACAAGCGCTGAAAGCAAACATTAACAAAAGCAATTATAGACGAAAGGCTGCAGTGGGATCCAAATGTCTGAGGCCACATTGAAATCTATCTAATGTAAAACTAGAATTAAACAAAATTTTTGAAAGATTTAACACCAAGATACACAATGAAATATTAAACCCTCATGTACTATTTGGCATCTGAGAGACTCCAATGCTATTTTAATAGCTAAACCTTTCTTAATGTTATGAGAAATGATTATAAACCTAAAATCAACTTCATAACAGCCATTAAACACCCTCCAAACACATGACTTTAGTTTGGAGTATCAGAAACATGCATGAATTTTCAAAAGCTAACTAATTCATACATATTAATATGCACCGTGAACAACAATCTATCTCTCTCTATATATATATATACACACACACACTTCCAAGAGAAACACTTCACAAATATCATGTATGTTTTATATAAGACGGTTCTCACCCCGATATTGAAGTTTCCGGTGAAGTAGTCGAGGTTTGTCTGGATGAAGCCCATGTTTGTCAATCCAAGCTGAGCACTTCGGTCTCTGGCCCTGACCAGAGACTCCTCTTTATTTTCAATGAGAATAACCTGATCAATGACAAAAATGGGATATTTCACCATGCTGCTATTATATCTCTTACAACTCACTGGTTCATTGCCAAATTGCTCATTGATTCATCTCGAATTGCTCTTTGAAAAGCCATTTCATTAAAAGGAACGAAAATCAGCAGAGAATGAGAAGCACATCTTCTAAATAACTACCTAATAATCCACTGAACCATTAAATATGTATTAGCACTCAAAGAGTATTCTAGTATTGAGTTGATTTTCCTATCCGCATTTGTAAAAGCACAATTTTCCCAACAAGGGCTTAGGGAGACAAAAAACAACAATAGTGTGGAATCAGTTTATTTTTCCAGTGTCTACAAATGAGCTCACCAGGGAGGAAGGCAGATTTTGTTTCTTTTCTTTGATTCTGTTAACCTGAACTTGCTACACTTGAACAAATCAGAAAGTCTTACCTGACATTTAGGAAGCGTGTACGCCAAAACAATCCCAACGTGCCCCTGAGAAAACAAACGAAGAAAAAGCTGCTAAAGAACTTGGGAGAAACAGACCTCAAAGAGCTCCTCAGATCAAGCTCAAGAGAACACAGGCGCACAGAAGAATATTGACCTGTTGCCCAAAAGCTGTAACGTCAGGGCTTATATGTATGCACAGAATAACAAGAGCACTCCCAAAGATTACACGAGGTGACAACGGAGGAGAACAGATGCTTACTGACTGAGTCCCGTAAGAAAACAGAAACAAGTCCAAGACGTTTTTAACATGTCAGAAGGTAACCTACCCCCCCGCTGCAGAAATCCACCACAGTGTTCCCCGGGTGGGCCAGATCCGTCACCATGGCAAGCAGGTTGTTGAGTTGTTGTTGTTTGCGCACGGCGCGGGCGTCTGACATCTTACCTTTGGAGACAAGGGAATGTTAACACCGAAACTGCCAACAGCAACACACTGCAACAAGACTCTTAACCATAGCCAAAATAGAAATGTGTGTCCAAGTTACAAATGTTACATAATCCAGTAGATGCGTGATAATGTACAGCCAATCATTAACGCAAACTAAACCCACATCGGAATCAGTCCATCAGCCTGAATAGGTTTATTTGGGAAATTACTAATTAGTTTTGTTGGCAAAAATAAATAAGTAAAATAAAATAAAAAGTTTGTAAATATATGCGTGTTTATATACACTCACCGGCCACTTTATTAGGTACACCTGTCCAACTGCTCGTTAACACTTAATTTCTAAGCAGCCAATCACATGGTGGCAACTCAGTGCATTTAGGCATGTAGACATGGTCAAGACAATCTCCTGCAGTTCAAACCGAGCATCAGTATGGGGAAGAAAGGTGATTTGAGTGACTTTGAACGTGGCATGATTGTTGGTGCCAGAAGGGCTGGTCTGAGTATTTCAGAAACTGCTAATCTACTGGGATTTTCAAGCACAACCATCTCTAGGGTTTACAGAGAATGGTCCGAAAAAGAAAAAACATCCAGTGAGCGGCAGTTCTGTGGGCGGAAATGCCTTGTTGATGCCAGAGGTCAGAGGAGAATGGCCAGACTGGTTCGAGCTGATAGAAGGGCAACAGTGACTGAAATAACCACTCGTTACAACCGAGGTATGCAGCAAAGCATTTGTGAAGCCACAACACGCACAACCTTGAGGCGGCTGGGCTACAACAGCAGAAGACTCCACCGGGTACCACTCATCTCCACTACAAATAGGAAAAAAGAGGCTACAATTTGCAAGAGCTCACCAAAATTGAACAGTTGAAGACTGGAAAAATGTTGCCTGGTCTGATGAGTCTCGATTTCTGTTGAGACATTCAGATGTTAGAGTCAGAATTTGGCGTAAACAGAATGAGAACATGGAACCATCATGCCTTGTTACCACTGTGCAGGCTGGTGGTGGTGGTGTAATGGTGTGGGGGATGTTTTCCTGGCACACTTTTGGCCCCTTAGTGCCAATTGGGCATCGTTTAAATGCCACGGCCTACCTGAGCATTGTTTCTGACCATGTCCATCCCTTTATGGCCACCATGTACCCATCCTCTGATGGCTACTTCCACCATGTCACAAAGCTCTAATCATTTCAAATTGGTTTCTTGAACATGACAATGAGTTCACTGTACTAAAATGGCCTCCACAGTCACCAGATCTCAACCCAATAGAGCATCTTTGGGATGTGGTGGAACGGGAGATTCGCATCATGGATGTGCAGCCGACAAATCTGCGGCAACTGTGTGATGCCATCATGTCAATATGGACCAAACTCCCTGAGGAATGCTTCCAGCACCTTGTTGAATCTATGCCACGAAGAATTGAGGCAGTTCTGAAGGCAAAAGGGGGTCCAACCCGTTACTAGCATGGGGTACCTAATAAAGTGGCCGGTGAGTGTATATCTTGTATTATAATAAGTAAAATTAAAAAAAAGTTTGTAAATATATTATATATATATATATATCTTCTATTATAATAAAATAGTATTAAATTAAACCATCAATTTATGTATTTATTATTCTCTTAAATTAAAATTATTTTTAACTTAAACAAATTATTTAGTATTAAATAGTAGTATTATTTAGTGCTGTCAAATCGATTAATCGCGATTAGTCACATCTAACAAAAGTTTGTAAATACAAGTGTGTGTTTATATATATATATATATATATATATATATATATATATATATATATATATATATATATAAAAAATACACACATATCTATAAACTTTTGTTAGATGTGACTAATCGCGATTAATCGATTTGACTGCACTAAATAATATAATGTAATATAATATAATATAATTATATGTACAGTGAGCACTAACATTTCACAACAGTATGGACATTAAAATATTTTAAGCTGCAGTCCGCAGTTTTCCCTCTTTGTCGCCATCTCTGTTCGAGATCTGCAATTGCAGTCATTCGCGGAATTATCAACTTTACGTGGGTTGTGCCTCGGCATGGTTTTGAGGAGATTGTGCGGCTGTCAGTCGCCGAGCCGGTGTGGATACTGTCATTCGCAATCACAGATTCTACTTTTTGGAAGTATGACCAATATAAGAATTTTCACCGTAAAATGTCATCTGAACAATTAAGTAACATCCACTTTTCACGTCAAACCTTGCAAATTATACTTTGTTCTTTTAAATTGTTAATGTTAACCACATCTGCATTGCATGACTACATTTAATGCCCTTCAGATATGTATCCCTGTTTTCGCATGGGTCCGGTTGCAGTCTCTTTTTCCAAACTCTTTTGCATTTTACAACGGGTGAATCTCCAGTTGTCACTGGTGATTGTCATTTGAACCTTTCTGGATCCGCCATCAAATTGAAAAGTTTAATTATATCAAGTGCTGTGAGAAAAGGCTATAAATCTCCACCTCCAACATCCTCACACGCAATATAGCCGACTAGCCGAGACTCTTCTTTATGTGTACAGATGTGACGTAATGACAGCAGAGAGTTATGAACACTGGCTGGTTATGTACTTGCTCAAAAATTTATTTTGGATAATTTGTTTAACCCCAAAAAGTTACGGACTGAAGCTTTAAATCATTACTTTGTAATTGCAGTCACACAAATGACTGAAAACAAAGCCATGGTCAAGAGAAAAAAATGGTTATACATTTATAAATTGAGGTAATATTCTGTTGTAACATGCATGAAGTCACACAAGACATGCATTGTTGTTACCATGCACAATATGTTAGGTTATAATAATAATGAACTGCTGTATAATTAAAGGTGCAGTGTGTAGATTTTAGCGACATCTAGCGGTTCGGTTGCGAGTTGCACTAAGGGCTCAGCCCACTGCTCACCCCTCCCTTTCGAAGAAGCTACGGTGGCTAAAACGGGACAAACATATCGTCGTCTGAGACAGCAGAGAATAGCCAGAGTAAGCCAAGAGTGTGTAACATTGTCACTGTTTCTGTACCACAGTCCATTATAAACCACATCATGGATAAAGTTTACAAAGCCATAGTCAGGTGAGGATCAGGGCCAAGGGTCTTAATATATCATATAATAATAGTAATCAGCTGATTGTCTCACGAACATAACCAGCACATTTCTCCCCACATAGCAAACCCATAATACAGCGAGGGAGAAGAACCACATGAAACTATGCAACTATATATGTTTTCTAACAGGGTAGTAAAAGTTTAGCTGGCTAAATATGAGCTGTTACTGTGGCTGAGCTGGTTAAAGCGTAAAGCCTTGTTTATACTCGACGCGTCCGCATGAGCCCAAAGGTGCGCGCGGCAAAAATGACATGATTGTAACAGCGCACGCGCCTCCGCATCCCCTAGACACCACTTACTACACACAATAGGCTTTTTTTCTCTGATTTTGAAAACTCTTCACGATCGACTTAAAATGCTTCGAAGATCGACGGGTTGGTGATTCCTGTAACTGTTTTCCGGTCAATGACAAGAGTAGCCTACTAATCAGCTGTCTCACGAACTTAACCAGCACATTTATCCCCACATAGCAAAGCCATAACACAGCGAGGGAGAAGAACTAAGTTACATGAAACAATCCAACTACATATTTTACACCACTGACAAGGGAAAAGTCACTACTCACTGTGTTTATGGCTAGCTTCTAGCTTTCTGCTGCTTCTCTTTCAAGGTATGAACGAAACACGCTCTGTAGGGCTGTTTGTTCGCTGTCGGCTACGATAGAAACATGACGTCACAATGTGTCGACCTTCATAGAAGGGGGTGCCCGCGGTTATGTAGATATAAATGTCTCATTCTAAGGTAATAAATACATTACAGTTTATTAAGCAAGTTCTTTATACGCCACTGAAAACATAGTTATTAGGGGTGGAACGGTACACAGAAGTCACGGTTCGGTTCATACCTCGGTTCAGACATCACGGTTCGGTACGATTTCGGTACAATGGAGGGAAAAGCAAAACAAAAATGCAGAAGGCATTGTATTTTTTAAATAAGTTTTATTAATAAAGGCATAGAACCAGTTTATTTGTAGTGCACTGACAATAGTTTTATATAATTAGTTTATTAATTAAATTAATAAAAAGACAAAAAGACCTTGCGATATGTTTGGTAATTGTACCTGAATTAATTTAAAATTAATTTGCTATATTTCAGATCAATATATTTGTTTTCCTTAATTTTAATTAACATTATTAATTAACAATGTAACATTATTCTCATCTGAATTATAAATAATTGATTTCTGTATAAAATAATACTACCATTAATAACGCATTCGATTTTCTTTTTTAATCAATGTAGAATGTTTAAGATTAGTGCTCCGAGGACGAGAAATGAAAACCAATGCGATGAATGTCCAAAAGATGGGACCCACAGACTGTTTTGAAATGGAGTTGGATAAATATGTTTTGCTTTTAAAACAGTGTGCGTGTGTGTGTGTGTGTGAGAGAGAGAGAGAGATTTTGGTTGGGTGACAGTTGTAGGTTACAGTTTGACAAGAGTTTACAGTGTGACAAAAGCACAATGTTGTGTTTTATTGCGAGTGTACACAAATATAAGTAAACACTTTGCAGGTTTAATGATCTGTATGAACAAAAATGACGGAGTATGTTTTTTATGTTTCCACTGTTCGATCGCGGCCGCGCCTCTCTCTCACACACACACACAAACACACACACTCCAGCATTGCAATCTTGACATCGCAGCCTGTTCATTATGCGGTCACACCAAACGCGAATAGAGCGTTAAATTCGCGTCTATCGCGTCTAGTTCGACGCTAGTCCAAAGCGAATAGGACGCACGTATAAGCCAACGTTTGAAGTGAACGCGCGTTCAGAGCAAAGCCGATGGTACAGATTAGGTGTCCCTAAAGAACCCGCGTATCTAACAGTAGTTCCGCATTACATTAATTAATTTCCACGCGGGTTTTATTTA